AAAAGGGCGTGTCGCGACCTTTGAACGCGCTTTTAACGAGGAAATATAAGCTACGCACGATTGTGATTTCGGGTTTGTTGGGATGCTTAGAGCGTCTAGATCGAGTTGTCACCACAAAAGGACGATCTCCGAATCGACCTTAGTGCCCCTATTAGCGGCGAAATGTTTTGATGGCGCCCTCCTATGGTTCCCTCTCGTGACGTCATTACCTTACAAACAACAAGTTGGATGGTGTTTTGTAATGAGCATGGTGGAAGCTTGAAATCAGTGCGTTCTCAAAGCAACACTGCCAACACCGTCAAAATTCAAGCTCTTTGATTCTTCTTATATCCGTCGATGAAAAATCCTTTCCTGACGTCAGTCAGCATTCGACCAATCGTGTAAGGCCGATCACAGCGACGATATCGATCGCGCACGTCGCCAATAAAGGGGCCCTGCAAGGACTTTTTTACTGGTTTTAATTTGCACCGAACCTGAGCGCAGTGAACGTAGTAACTTAATAAAACTTTTCTTTTCTCGAATTTCGCTCTATTTTAAAAGCTATAGGCAAATTAATATTACAAAAACAAGCAAAAAATAACCTCCTTCATGACGTCCTTGGTCGCTTGAGTGGCCGTGAACTAGAGGAGGGGTAGTGAGCTGATCGAGCGTTCACGGTTGCCGCACTCCGTGTCGCCGGCTGGAGAGGGCGCCACTAAAGCACGTTCTGGGGAGTCTGTATGAAGCGGGCAGCCGGGGCGGCTCGCATTGCATTTGCTGTGCGACTAAACACTGATTCGGCATGACACTTCATTGGCCACAAACGACAGCAAACACGAAATAAAGATCGGTTCAGAATGTGAGCCACTTCGCGTTGCCATGCCGCCAAACGGCCAAACCGCAAGCCAAACCTGCTCGCCGAAGGCCTTCGGAACGCTCGGAACCGGTCGGATCTTCGAGCCCGTATACGACCGCAGCGCCGCCGCGTACATTCGGGACCTTTCTACTTGCCTGGAACGCGTCTCCGACTGGTGTGTTTACCGCGGCCAAAAAAGTGGTCCCTCGATTTCCGCCTGATGACGTCATAAAAGTGTCATGCTGTCGCCGGTCGCGACCCTGGCGGCGTCCCAACAGTTGTGGTAAATGTGGCAGACGCCTGTTCTGCTGCAGGTCGCTTTCCACTGTGACAGTTCACGGAAGCTCGAGCAGCCGAAAGTTGGGACGCCTAAAGCGACGCCGTGACGACAGCGACACTCGCGTTCGCTCGTGCTTTTCGCCAGCATTTCTACGGCCAACCGCCAGGATCACGACAGGCAACAGCATGACACTCTCGTCATTTGTTGCCACCTTGGGACCACTTTTGATGTATGGGCGGGATTGGGCGCTAAACACATCAGACGAAGGCGCGATCGAGGCACCATATTTCTACGCTCGCCGCTCGTCGGTGCCTGATCCAACCACCCCTTTCTAGTGTGCGCCGCCTTTCCACCGCTTGGTGGCGGATATGTCGACGGTTCATTTCTTGTTTCCGTGCTTTGTGAACTGCATTTGTTTCTTTCCTGATCTAAAATACTGAATAAATACTACTTTCATAAATAATTGAAACGGTTCGCGCCACATATTTTGTATTTCGACTAAAAGGAAGCTTTTAGCAGCTCTGACCAGTAGTAAGCCCAAGACCATATACTTCGCTTATCGCGCGCTTTCGGCACCGCGGGTCGCCCTCGTAGGTGGAAAAGGCTTCCGCGTCGTCCGATAAAAAATATGACGCACTGATATTTAGTTATTCTTTCCGTACCAGCTGGCTTGCCCGAACCTCAAGAGACATGGAAACCACAAAAAGTTAGACGCTTAAGTATGGTTGCAGGGCCCCTTTACCACTCTAAAAAAAGTCCGTGCGCCTACTTTCACGCACAACACTAGGAGAACCAATCAGCGTAACTTTCGGAGGCAGCTCAGCGAATGACGATGCCGTAACATATGTCTAGACCCAAAAACGGAGTCCGAGTTGTGACCTTAAGCAATGCAAGCGTGACGTTTTGCATTGCTTAATATCACAATTCAGACTGCGTGTTTTGGTCTAAACATATGTTACGGCATCGTCATTCGCTGAGCTGCCTCCGTAAGTTGCGGTGAATGGCTCTCCGAGTGTTATGTGGGAAAGCAGAGGCACGGGCTTTTTTTTAGAATGTACCAAGTTTCCGTACGAGAAAATGATGTCAGGTTCGTGCCGTTTGTTACTGTAAGCTCTCTTTTCTAAAGGGTTTCCGCAAGTGACGTGCTATTTCTGTCGAATTCATTTTTCCCTCACCATAACGTCGTGTTCTCATTCAGTGCCTGACTTTGTAAATGTCCTACTTACTGCAAACCCAGTTGTCGATGCAGGATGCTGTTATTTTATTACAAGTGTAGGATTAATGGCCCTCATAGAGCAACGTATTTGCTCCTCTTGGTCCTTAAAAATTTAATAGTTAAATCTAAAACCGCGATCTCGTCCTTTTCCAGACACTATTATTGGTGTTGGCAGAGGAAGATTTCGGTGTTGAACCCCCCTCCTCCCATAATGATCAAGTCCTCCCTCCCTTTTCCCCTCCTCTTCAGACGCAGCTCCATAGTCAAACCCCTTCCCATATTGCCCATAAATAAACCCCGACCCGAAAGAAATTTCTGGCTATACGCCACCGCCAGGAATATTTTTCGGGCCGGGGGGATCATGCTGGGAGGTGATTTCAACCCCGAAACGCCTCTCTACCTACGCCACTGGCCAGCTGACTCAATAGTAACGAGATAGATCTTGGATTATGTTAAGTATTGGTGGGGAAGACACCCGATGATTCTTGTTGCCTGAACACCCGAATCGTCCACTATTCACACCATATCCCGATGGCTCGATCGCGTTCACGGTCAAACGTTTCGCACAGATTTTCGTATTTTAGATATGAGGTTTGCTCTGACAGACGATTTGTTACAGCACCAAGGGGAACAAAACAAAACGAACTTGAGGGCAAGAGAAGGACAATAATAAAATTAACTTTTTTTCCCTCAAGCTTTCTTACGTCGATTCGACAAACTGCCCTTCGACAGGCTGCCCCCTCGACGACTTGGCCTATGAGGGGTAGTCCTATTTGACAAGTCGGCTTTCGACGACTGGGCCTTCAAAGAATTGGCTTTCGACGAGTTGTCCCGATCCCGCATAACTGATACTTATTACTGCAGTTACGCTTAGATAAAAGTGGGAGCTCCTTCCACCTCTTTCCCCTTTGGCAGTGCGTTCGTTGAAGAGGTGGTGAAGAGGTGGGAGGAGCTTTCACTTTACCAGCAAAGGTAATCTTCAGGAGATTTGTTCCGATCGACATACCGTATGCTGTGAGGTTTCAATATAAAAATTACTTGCGCGTTGTGTGATGAGAGCGTGAATTTAATCAGCCCCAATTAGTGTCAGGTGTCTCCGCCGTAGGCGAGAAAGTTAGCCAGTACAGTAGCGCCGCTAGCCCGCGGTCTTCAACGTGCACCACGCAGTAGTGATGCACGATCGACTGCACTCCGGTATACGATGCTGCTCCAGATCGGGACGGGCAATGGTAGGGATTGAGCCTGCAGGATCCGTTCCGCTTGCTCCTAGCAGCGGGGCGTTAGCATACTCGGCCACCGATCCCCTATCAGTATGCCCATGAATGCGTTTAAGAAAAAAAGAATCATTACCGACAAAATGCGTCCGAAGGCGACTACTGCAAGTGAAAGATGACGCAGAGTATCGAGAAAGCAGCCCGTTACTTTGGAGCTCAAGTAACGTGTTTCTTTTGAATCTCGATCACGAATGAGTAAAGGTGTTTAGTTAATAGAATGCTTTTTCTTTTAATAACGCGTACATGTTTGGTACTTGGTATCTCTCACTCGCGAATATTTCATTCCCAGAATGTCGCAGGGAAGCAGAAACAAGGTCACCACGGGAAACGATTTAACTCGAATAGTAGGGCGCAGTCGGCTGCTTTTGACAAAAACACAAAACGCAGTCTGTTTGTGTCATACAAATAGACTGGTTTGTGTTATAGTTACAGAGGAATGCCATCCATGTAACAAAACAAAAAAGAAATACCGTCGTCACGCGCGGAGCGGACGCGCAGCTGCTCTCTGCCTGGAGCTCCGACGAACGCGGGACGAGCAAATAGTCGTTATCTTTCTCCCCCCTTGGTGCTATGATTACTCTGTAGAAGCACAGCTGAACAACGGGAGCGCGTCAGTGCAGAGCCCAGCGAGGGCGCCGGCTCGTGGGAGCAGGTGCCGCGCCCAGCGGGGTATATAAATATTAAAAAAATGTATCTTATATAATTTATTCGCATATTAGAACATGCATGCCAAACCAACTGCAAATTCTGCCCCCCCCCCCCCCTTTCTCTAAATCTCCCATTTTGCTGGGGCCTCCTCTCCCCCCCTCCCATCATACAGCATTTTGTCATGCCCCCCCCCCCCGAATCACAGTCCTGGCTACGTACCTCCATTGGTGAGTATGGTAGATAGAAAAACTTTTCTTGGACATTTTTTTTTTCGTGAAATTTCTTTTTTTTATTTGCGTTTTTAAAATTATGTTTCTTTATTTGCGCCTTTTCTTTATTTCCGACTGTGCTCGCCCCACATAACTACGCGCTCCGCTACACTATGAATTTATATAACAAACTTCCAACCGAGAAAGAACTCTCGAACACTGTGCAATTTGGCGTTCCCAAAATTGCTGTCGTGCGGCATTTATGTTCTTGTTAATTGTAGAATGAGTCTGGTACTTTCAAACTGTCTTTACTTAAACTAAAACCGAAAAGGTAAATATTTTACTGCCTTCTCGGAAAATTCAACTTTAAACATTTATTTCCCTACAAAAATCAAGTTCGATTTTCTCGATAAAAGGAACTCAGAGGATATCAGACCACGCAATGCATGTTCGAGTGCAATGCGACTCGAAACTTTCCCACAGAAAATGACTCAGTCTTCGGCAGAAATACCCCTCTTAATTCCCCCATTCTCGTTTCGGCGAAAGGAGAAGTGAAATGAGCGCCAACTCGCGCAGGTCACTGGTCGGCCAGTGGCGAGAAAATTTCCCGTCCAGCCTCGCGGCCATGAGAGGGGCTCATCTGCTCCCGTACGTCGAGTCGCTGGCACCGGGGGCGATTTTTCACTCGCGCTTGCCTGCCTGCCTACCTCGCTTTTCGACCGAGACGCCCCTCCTCAGGAGCACACAGCTGGCCGATCATTTGTTCACCCGTACCATCGACGAAGTAGCAACAAAAAGGAAAAACGACGTTTCAGCTGACGTCGTTTTTATTATTGTTTTGTTTTTCTGTGATTCCCCGAGGTGGTGGTGGCGGTGGGACGGGCGCGGGAGCAGCAGGCGCGCCCCACTTTAAGAACGCGTTTGACCCGCATCCGCCTGCCGGCACCGCCGAGTCGCGTACACTACGCGCTCGACGCCGCCGACTCGTTGCCGTTCCACCTCGGCGACTTCGCCGCGACACCCCGTCGCCGTCCAGTCGCTCCGAAGAGCGCCTCGACCGAAGCCGCCGGGGGGTCGAGCCTTCGTCCCTTCAGCGACCTTGGCGTCTGTCTTCGGGCAGACACTGAGCCCTCGGATTAACCCCTAGTGGCCCGGATTAACCCCTTCTGGGATCGGGGACCGTGGATAGACGGAGGCTGCAGAGGCGCCCCCGTCGGGGCAACGTGGACCATGCCGGCTCCTCCGGGACCATGTTGGCTGCTCGTGCTGCTGGTCGCTACCCTCGCCTTGGCCGGAACCAGCGCCACGGTGTTTGGCACCTCCGCGTCTGCGGCGGCGGCGGCGTCCGTGTCCCAGGTGGAGGTGCCGGCCGTCCCGCTGGCCCCGCCGCCCGGCGGGGTGAAGAAAGTGATGTACTACGACGGCAAGACCCTGGCCAGAGTGGAGTACGGCCAGGACGGAGTGACGCTGCAGACCTGCCGCCTCTTCGAGCTCGAGTGAGGCGCCTCGCTTTCTTGTTTCGTCCGTTCGGACTCCGGAGTGGGCTGGTCGGGACCAAAGACCTTCTGTACTGCGTGTCACCTTGCAATAGACCACAGCGGATACTACGAGTCGTCCCATGGCCAATCCCAGGGCTGGGAACGTATCCCGCAACTGTCCCTCTCGAAGATCACTTGACACTTTCACGGCCTTGAATTGGCTTGTAGGGCTCGTAGCATTCTCTGTGATCCATCGTAATGCGAAACGGAGTGTAGATGACGAGTCAATGGGTGCAAGGGAGGAAGCGCTCCAAACCCCCATACACTCTTAAAAATGCGTCACATTGCGGACGACTACACCTTTTGCAGGTTTTTTTTAACCTTTTTCGGTCGTAGAATCTATAGTATTGGCTTTCCGGGTACTTTGTGGGAAAATGGACGCACGAGGGTAATTTTTGTATTTTTATATAGTGCATGTTCGTTGCCAGAACCGAAGCCACTGGTAATGGTCCTCCTACACTAACCTGTATAGGCCTGGATAGTCATAGATCACGACGGTCTATGTATGCGTTACGTAGGCAATTAGTTAGCACAGATAACAAACAGGTCATCTTCGGCGAAGAATTGAGACTGGCAAAGGGAGGCAGCCTGGTGGCCCTGGATATCAGTTATGTTTTGCTCGTTTCATTCGTTTTTCTCAACAGCTTGATCTTTTTTAGTCGCATTTCAAAGTTCTGCATTCCAAAGTGTACAAGAAAGATAATGGTGCGTTTGCAAAATATTGCTTGTGACAAAAACAAGAATCGGCATGTTACTCGAAAATATTTTTGAAGTGCTGCTACGACTTCCGGAAAAAGGCCGTCCACTGGTCGGCATCAAATTTGCCGCAGTTAAAACAAAATCCCGCACACCAGTCATTTGTCGGTTTGTGTCGAACATTTGGTTAGTGGCCCTTGACGTCAATTTCCAGCCCTCAACGAGAAGCACGTACGGTATAATTTGTAACAATTTTCGCACAAGCCTCACATTTTCGCATTAATGGGCCTATCAAATTGGTAGTGCGGTTTCTTTGAACCAGGTCGATCATTTCTAACGCTTCGAATCAAAATGAGCACTTAAACCACCAAAATACGGATCTTGAAAGGGCCTCAATATGGTGAAAGCGCGTTTGCAAGCAACTTTTTGGGGCAATTACAAGAACTTCGCCGTTTACTAGAAGAAGCTGTCAATCGTGGCTCTGCGACTTAATTATCAAGAGCAAATCAAGAAGCCCTAAAGCCTGTAGCGCACCTGTAGAGCACTCTCGAACACTTATTCATTGGCGCCCGTTGGAATATATCTCTCGATCCTCGGAATTTTCATGCGGCTTCTGTGTTGTACTCACCATGTCTGCAGATCACTGGCATCAAATTGATGATTCTAATATACTTTTGTTATTTATAAATAATTTAGGAGCCTTTTTTTCTATATTTCTGGTACAGGGTGCCCTCAAATGACCTGGACCAGCGGCGTTCAGGCCGGGGTAGTACAAAAGCCATGCGTGAAAGAACTCCGACTTCGTTAAACTGTAAACAAAGCAACCAAAAAAAAAAAACGATATTGGATTGGACTGCCACATTTCCTCTTGTGGCAATATTTTGGGCAGTTCGTATCATAACTTAGCATGCATGCCCGTGCGGCATTTTACCCCTTTAGGTGAGCACTAAGCTGGGCCAGCTCATAGCGCCGCTGTGAGATCATGCCTGGATGGTTGCTGACTAGGCAGACATAGGGTGGGGACTTGGTTGCTGAGGGGTTTGAGCGGATCGTGTTTTCGTAAAACAACACCTGTATCCGGTCTCCTTCTTGCCCTCTGTTGATTAAAGTAACTGAGCACCATCAAACTTTTTATGGTCACCGATTTCGATAAAACAGAAAACTTGGACTATGTATTAAGTGCACTTTCCCGCGCACTCTAATCTACCCCGCTAAAAAATGTAATTTCGTTGGCGAAAATACATTTCTGAAGATTTGCCTTTCATTATATAAGAAAGTCAGTCGTATATCGGGGTCACACTGCTTATAATACATCATACAAAAGACAGGCTGCATACGGATTCGAACGCGAGTCACCGCTAGATCCGTGCTTCGAATGCTACGTAGCAATTAGTTCAAGGAAAAAACGTGCCATGCGGCATTCGAACCACGGATATTCCGATGACCCGTGTTTGCCGACTTTCTTTTGTGCGATATGTGAACAGTGTATCCCCGGCTTTGGTCGTACAGCAAATGTTCGCGGACATGTTCGGAGCATACATGCTCCGTGTCTACAGAGAAACGATCGTCTTATGCGTGATGTTTATGGGCAGTGTGTGACAGCGTCTCTGGGAGAGAATTCAACCGGCGCTTTCAACTTGCCAGCAGGAATCAATTACGCGGTGCTGCGTTTCTCGGTACAAAATCGCCTCCCTCGCTTTACATTCCTCGATGGAATCATCAGTGGGTCAAACCGACGGGTCTTTCGGGGTTCCTGCGTCTGATGCCTCTTCCCCTGCGGACGCAGTGACGAGCGCGAGGCGGAGCCCATCATCAAGGCGCAGGGCCTGCCTGTGCAGCCCGTGGACCTGGCCACCATGCTGCGCCTCATCTCGCAGTGCCGGGAGCTGCGGGACTGGACGGCCAGCACCAACAGCACGCTCCAGTGGAGCGCCTCTTCGCTCTGGAGCGGCATCATACCCGGTGAGGACACTATAGGGACCCCGTGGCGCATTTGAAACTTCCCTGTTTAAGAGCGCAGCTCTTAGGGGCCCGTTTCCAGCCTGAGCGGCGTCGGCGTCGGCGTAACCTGGGGGGGGGGGGGGGGGGTCACG